GGAGGTCAAGGTGGGAGGATCCCTTGAGCTCAGGTTCAAGACCAGACTGAGCAAGAGTGAGACTGGTCTCTACTAAAAATAGAAAAATTAGGTGGCGCCAGTAGCTCAGTGGGTAGGGCACCCACCATCGAGGCTGGCAGGTTCGAACCCAGCCTGGGCCTGCTAAAACAATTGCAACAAAAAATAGCAGGGCATTGTGGCGGGTGGCTGTAGTCTCAGCTACTTGGGAGGCTGAGGCAAGAGAATTGCTTAAATCCAAGTGTTTGAGTTGTTGTGAGCTGTGACGCCACAGCACTCTACCCAGGGCAACAGCTTGAGACTGTGTCTCAAAAAATAAATAAATAAAAAATTAAAACAGAAAAATTAGCTGGGTGTAGTGGTGGGCACCTGTCATCCCAGCTACTCGAGAGGCTGAGGCAGGATTTCTTGAACCCTGAATGGAGTTTGAGGTTGCAGTGAGCTAGGCTGATGCCACTGCACTCTAACCTGAGGCAATAAGGTGTCTCAAAAAAATAAAAATAAAAAGGCGGGGGAGGGGGAAGATTCTTTCATTTGCCAAAACATTGGGTGGCCCAGAGGACATTATGGTAAGTGAAGTAAGCCAGACACAGAAAAATTTTGCATGATCTCACATATATGTGGAATCTTTAACCAAAAAAGGTCAAATATACAATGATAGAGAATGAAACAGCTGTTGCCAGGAGTAAGTGGGAGGGTGAGGGGTAGGAAATGTGGAGATGTAGGCTAAAGGATACAAAGCGGCAGATATGCGGGATGAGTACGTCTAGGGAGCTAGTGTATGACATTAGTTTTACATTCTGCAGACAGTCCCCAGGTTACAAACAAGGTAGGTTCTGTAGGTTTGTCCTTAAGTTGGATTTGTATGTAAGGTGGTACAGGTACATATACCTATTGTCTGTAACAGCCTCCATTCCCAAGTGCAAGTCATACATCAGTTGGACCTTTGTAACTTGGGGACTGCCTATTATAGTCTCTGTTCCTAAGTGTAAGTTGTATGTAAGTAGGATGTTTATAACTCGGATACTGCTTATATTAGAGATTTTTGTTAAGCAGATTTTAGCTGCTTGTCACCAAGAAAAGTAACTGTGTGAAATCAGATATGCTTATTTGACTAACCATTTTACTATTTACCTGTACCCCATAACGTCATGCCATGAACCTCAAATATACACATTTTTTTTAGCTTTATAAATCCAGGTGTGATGGTACATGCCTGTAGTCTCTTCTACTCAGGAGGCTGAGGTAAGAGGATCCCCTGAACCCAGGAGTTCAAGTCCAGCCTAGGTAACATAGCAAGACCCCTATCTCAAAAAAACAAAAGTAAAACCACCAAACCCCCCAAACTTTATAGTAACAATTTTGGAGAGTTATAAACAGTAGTCAAGTAAAAGTTATAAAAATCAAACAAACAAGGAATGCTTCAACCCAGATTTTTTGGAGCACTTAGCTTTGTGTGCAGGAATTTGGAACAGAACTTGCTATAGTCTTAAAACAAGAAAACAGTCTCCGACTGGAAAAAAAGATCAGCAAGAGAAAAATAGACTTCCAAACATAGTGGCAGCAAAGCCGAGGGGTAATTTCTGGCTGTAGCACCCTTGCCTTTAAAGCACCACTTGTAACAAGATGGAAGCCACTTGTCAAAAGCAGCAGTGTCCTGGAGTTAGTGAATGGTTGTAAGAGGTGGCATACCAGAGTGTGTGTTTTTGAGTAATCATTTGCAAGAGGCTGAGCCAGCAGTTGGGAAAAGGCACATGATTGGTCAGTTTTGGGCCCAGGAAAGAGGCACATGATTGGTCAGTTTTGGGCCCAGGGATGAGGCATGAATTAGTGTGTACCTGCCCCCAGGTTAATTCCAATCCTCCCTTATCCCATTCACAGCTATGAGAAGACAGTAGAGATGACCCTGGTAAGCTATTAATAGGTAATGAATGGGGGGCAGAGGGCTTTGGCATCCCTAAAGAGGACTCCAAAGACACATGACCCTCCTATACCCAAACTTCTTTTGGTCCTAAAGGCCTTGTCCATGGGCAAATTAAAGTAGATCCCTTGCAAAGGCAAGGCCTGGGTTCAGAGCCCCATGAAGCCAATCTGTCTAAAGGCTGGAGGTACAGACTAAAGCAAAGGGATGTGGCTGGCTGGCTCCACTTACCATTAGGCTGTTTTTCACACATAGACCATTTACTCTCTCAACATATCTAGCATAAGTGGTCAGCCCTGGAGCAATAGTGCTAAGCTTTCTTCCTTCAGCCCCACTTTATTTTGTGAGGGAGGTGCCACCAATAACTAGATTCCCTTCTAGAGGCCTCTTCATCCCCCACAATTGAGAGCTAACAAGTGAGATGGTAGGAGGGCACAGCAATAGGAGAAAACCATGTTTGGGGGGGATTTCAGGCTTTTTATGATTCGAATAACCCTGTTGTTAATGCTATTAATGGAGAAATTACCATTTTCAGCAGAAAACAGTTGCTTTCCATATCTAGAAAGGAGATCAGGACTAGTAGCCCTAACTCGAGATGAAACACATCTTCATTACAGAGATTAGGTCTGGGAGTTGTCAAGCCTGGCTTTGGTCCAGGTGGTCACATTTTCTCTGATTCTGAGGCTGGGGGAGGTGACAGCATGTGAAATAGACTAGGGTGATGCCTTTTGCTCAGGGGCCATCAGACACCATCACAGGCTGTTTCCTGTCAAAATGTGCTCACATCACCCCACTTTGGTGCTGCTTCCTCCTCAGGTCTGCTACTGTTCCACACAGTTAAGAATGGCTCTGCAGGCTCGGCACCTGTAGCTCAGCGGGTAGGGTGCCAGCCACATACACTAGAGCTGGTGGGTTTGAATCCAGCCTGAGCCTGCCAAACAACAAGGACAACTACAACCACCAAAAAATAGTCGGGCATTGTAGCAGGCATCTGTAGTCCCAGCTACTTGGGAGGCTGAGGCAAGAGAATCACTTAAGTCCAAGAGTTTGAGGTTGCTATGAGCTGTGACTCCACAGCAGTCTACTGAGGGCCACATAGTGAGATTCTGTCTCAAAAACAAAACAAAACAAACAAACAAAACCAGCTCTGCCACCCAAGACACTTGGGTCTCTCCCACCGTAGAAAAAACAATGTCAGGCCAGGTTCAGTGGCCCTCCTAGCACTCTTGGAGGCCGAGGAGGGTGGATTGCATGAGCTCACTGGTTCCAGACCAGCCGGAGCAAGAGACCTGTCTCTTTAAAAAAA